AACATACCGTTCGCCAGACCTGCTGGATCAACTTCCAGACCCTTTCTCTGTTTTGCATGCCCTCATCGCGATGGGCCGTGTTGGTGCGATGATATAACCATCTCCAGTCAGATGTCTTGTCCCACTCGCGAGACTCAAATAGCCAACAACGGTCAGCACCAGCCCTAAATCTGGAAGCCCAGAATTGATTGCTGTTGAAGATGGGTATGAACGACCGCACAGCTCGACGGGCACTGAAAGCATCTACTGTTGGCAGATGTGATGCAATCTCCAAGCAAATCTCCCGAGGAAGTGTGGTAAAACAGTTTGGCACTATGCTTTTTGCCTGAGCAGTGCTTGGAAATTGCGGCGTCTTTGGAGCCTCTAATGGAAGCAGTCGGATCTCCGGGACACGACAAGGATCATGTCTGGCAACCTCGAACAGCGCCAGGTCTTCGTCACGATCGACGAATCGGTGTTCCCAAGGGTAGCAGTCCTGATTCTTCACCGTGATCAAACCCCCGAAACTATGACCCCAACTAAGGCCGGCCTCTGTAAATGGACACGGTAGCGACTGGCAAATTTGGAACAGGGTTCTACAAGGGATTGGCTCGGGAGAATAGACCATGTCTAGAAGGGACCAGCAAGCCTCATGAAAGGGAAAGCCGTGTAGACCGTTGAGTGAGTCCTGACGAAACACTCCGACACGGCCAGTATCCGGAACGTCGTATCCCTCGTCATCCCATCGCGCGTTGAAGTCTCGAGGGGCAATGAACCAGCCATCATCGGGATCATTATAGATTCCGACTCCTGTTACTGCAACCCCGGTCGGGCTGATGTAGACTATTGACGTCAGCTTAACTCTTGCGAAGAACGGCGGGCAATTTCACACTTACGAAGGCGAAACTGGTTTTCCCAAGACGCCGAACTGGGGTCTTCATAGTTGAGGATAATGTATCCGCAAAGAACACAGGAGAAGATACTAGGGCTCATGGCTTTTTGGCGTCCGAGGTAAATTGTGAGACGAGGATAGCCAGAAATATTTGCCCTATTAGCACTTAAAGTGCAAATTCCACCCAAATTTTCGGGAGGTTGCTGGTTTGCTGAGTTGCCGCGGTGCTGGTCACATCCACAGGCTCTTGACGAAAAATTATTCTGGGAATCAAAAGTTAAAGGGGTAAATGTATTGAACGGTACAGCTCCTTGTACACAAGTGAAAATTTGTGGTTGGCAAGGCAGTCTCGGCTGGTATTCACGCAGCGTGTGATGATTTGGAAGAAGCTATATTCGTTCGCCTGTGTCAGGTGAGAAAGTCTACTAGGTCACGTGGATGGTATAAAGAGTTGTCGAAGGTACATGAGCAGTCTCGAAGCACCGGCATAAAGTTAGTAGGTTTAAGTTTACTTAACCAAGAGTCCAAGACGGTAGCTCAGGCTATCACGAGACAGCTAAAACTAGCGGGCCGCGACAAAGCACTTATTATATTAGTATATTTACGCGGTCCGTGTTATAATGCGTAAATAGTTTATTTTCTTGGGTCTTTTATAGTCCTTAGCTTAATTTGGCTTGCTATTATATTTGTTAGTCTTATAAGGGAAATGTGTTACAAGTAACGGGGTATAATTCATCTATTACTAAAGGTCTAAGAAAAGAAAGCTATTAGCTAGTAACTCAAGACCTTTGAGACCCTCAAGCTACGAGATTATTATTGAACCGAGCCCTTTTGCTCTAAACCCTTAGTTAAGCCCTTGTCACAGGATGCATCATGCATCGATGTTGGCCACAGCCCTAAAATTGTCTCGGTATAATACCAGACATTTTAGGTTTCACAAGGCTCACAGCCGCACATGTATTTACCCTTATTATAGTTATATTTACTTACACTTACTATAAATATTAAGGCTTAATAAGATTTTAAAATACTTTATAATAAGGCCGCTTAAAGTATATTTTATTATTTAAGCTAATTTTACTAAAAAACTTAAGGTATATATTAAATATTAGCTTATTTTAAGATATAACCCCTTAATAAAGGTATTAAGCCTAGTATATTTATATATATTAATATTATTATCTGGTATTTTTATTACGGAAAGGGGCGCTAAGAGTCAGGTCTTAGGCCGTTTCTGTCGGCCACTGCGATACGATGCGCGTCGCCTAAATCAGTGTCCATTGCTGCCGACCCGTCGCCTAGTCTGTCTGCATGTGACCGTGGAAACCGTCTGGTTTACTTGAAAGATATGTACAAACTTAAGGAACCGGGCCCAGCCAGATGCCGGTATGATAGTCCACCTGAAAATACATGGTTAGCGATGGCATCCAGCCGAGCCACGTCGCAGCCCGGAGGCCTCCGCTAGTCCCGACGGCCGGCGGGGCCCTCCGGGCCAATGAAGGCAATCCATCACCACTAGGGCGTTGCGCTGAATCTGACGCGGGGTCGTGGGTCATGTTTCCAGACACAGTTTGGCCCGGTCTTTGTGTTGGGAGCTTGGCGATGCTCAAGGCTCCGTTGCTCCATCCCCAAATGTTACGATCGATGCAGTAGCCAGGCAGTGAGTGGTCAACATAGGGTTTATGATCTACCCTACACTCCAGCACTTGGTGGATTGAGTGGAGTGGCTTTCAACCTTGGTCAGCAAGGAACGGAATATGAAGCTCGCCCAGCGAGGTGAAGCGGGCAGACAAGCTCGAACTCGGGGTCCAAAGGAATGAATGGGATGCGACCAGTCGCCGGCGGGAAAGACGAAGAAGGGGAGGAAAAAAACAAACAACGTTGTACAATGAACAAACTCAGTTGGCTTGTCATGCTTGCCCAAGTGCGCATAATTCTCTTTTGTGTCAAGTTCGGAAGTGCAATGCTTGGTCAGTTCCGCCCGTTTCAAAATACAAGCTCACCATTTTGCATCGTCATCTGGTTCAGCATCCGATGGAAAGGCTCGGAACTTCCAAGTAAAGACGGGCCAGGAAACCCCGGATATTGACGAAAAGGGGTGAGGTGCATGGTGTTACTGCGCCATATTTCTGTGTGCCCCGAGGAATAGAATGGCGACAATGGGAATTATGCCTGTGGGCGTTTGTCAACGTCATGCCGCGGACTCATGCGCAGGTCGTTGTGTGCAAGGGTTGAGCCAAGAGTAGCCAAAAGATCTACGGTTTGGTGTTTTTCTTGGTGGAAACAAGAACTAATGCGCACATGATTGATGAGGCAAAAACAACGAAAAAGAACACGCTTATTGTTAAGCGCATCACGTATTGCAACGACGATTCTGGAAGGGGCACTGAGAATCAAAAGGGGGGATACCCGTGCCGCGCCCCACCAGTTGACTTTATTTGGAACTCGCTACCGCTGGCGGCTCCGCCGGCAGCAGAGGATTTCAGTGTATCTCAGTATAACGATTTAGGTCTCGACTAGGTTATCCGCTCCCTACGATGCACAGTTGAACGCCGATAACGGCGGAGCGTTCCTACACCGCCCTCCGGAGCCCAAGCCCTATCGTCGTTGATACCTACATGGCAAGCAATGTATCGTAAAGTCCGGGAGATATAGAGTCGACGAGACAACCAGAAATGGCCTCCATACTCAACGGCTGCAAAAGATTGAGGTAATTCATGGAATAGGAATTCAGCATGCCCTCGGTGATGCATCCATGCGAATAGGAGCGCAATGCAGGCCACCGTGAGGCAAAACCGCGATTCAGGAAACGTCCTCGACGTCAATTCACCGAACCTTAACGGATCACGGTCAGAGCTTGCCCAAAGGGAAGCCGGCTTATAACCGTCGTCGCTACCTTAGTTTATGCCAGCTAAGGTGAGCGGCGGGCGCCGCTTCAGGGGTAAGTTTTAATAGTCCGGGATTCGTACGAACACGCAGGCAGAATCCCGACTCCAGCGTGGCTTGGCAGTGAACCCAAAACCTCCCGCGTCGTGGTCAGCCAGACTCTTTGTTCGAGAACCTGTTTTTCACCCCTGAGAGTCTGGAGGCGTTCCAGAATACGGCCAAGAAGTTTGCTTGTCGGCGGCGTAGGAGATATTACCCGACGCGACAATTGTCCTCTTGCTGCGACTTTTGTATGATGATGCCGCCGCAACCCTTTTATCTCGTGGCTTTCCCCCCAGACGTAATTGGAGCTATCGTCCGCGCCGCGCAATGTTTAAAACCAACTAGTATGGACGGCGGCGAATAGTCGACCTGTTGCTGGCAAAAGAGACAAATTGGTTGTTATCATATATCACATAATTTCGTCGCAAATGCCGAGAGCCCTTCCGTCGTCGATCACCGCATTGATGATTATGCCTCCTGATTGAAGTTGGACTTCAGATTGACGGCCATGTCCTAAGAGCGCGGCGGTGGCATGGAGACATATGTGAATCCATATTATGGAAATCCGTCTATAGTGCAACTCCCGACTTGCCGTAATCACTCGCCAAACTCGTCCACAATCCACGATTTCCACATGTGGCAGCGCATCTGTGGAATGGAGTGTTGATGATATGGCTGCATATGTGAGTCCATATGTGGATTTCGTGTAGTGGCTTTGAACCCTGACCCCCCTGAGACGGCCGGAGCCGATGAGCCTTGCCCCGGCCTGCTGGCTGACTCTGTCGATTTGCCAAGAACACCAAATCGCTCTTGCGACGCGTGGCCCCTAGTGAATCTGAAACACTTGCCAAAGGGTTTATGTCTTATACTAATAAGTAGATGCGCACTTTAGAGCGCAGTTGGCGGTAGCTGTAGGAATAATTATAAAGAGGCACCGTGATTCCTCGCAAAGGAGCAATCAAGGACATAAGCATCGACTACACATCCGATACCAAGCTTTCATGCCGATTGTATGTTCTTCTCAACTTATATTTCTTGCCTCAAAAGAGACGCTCGTTCCCAAGCCTTTTATTCCTTATCCTTCTCTAACATCTATCTCGGCAATCGCTGGTCGAATGTCCGTTAGTAGAGCGGCTCAGCTACAGCAATAGTTTCGAACAAACTCGCGTTTTTTTTTAAAGAAAAAAAAAAAGGCATCAAAATGGTCGGAAGTCTGTACTTGCGTGCGGCGGCGGCCACCCTGCTCTTGACCGGGATGCCCACGATGGCCGGCTGCATCGACCCCGCTGCCACCATCCCGGCAGCCCCCGCAGCCGGTGCCGGGACCGGAGCCACCGCCAAAGCCGCGGCCGAGCCCGGGGCCGAGGCCAAGGACAGTATCACCTGCCACATCCTCGACACCACCGCGGGGCGCCCGGCCAAGGGCGTGCGCGTAAGCCTGCAGGGCCCCAACAACAGCACCTTCCAGAGCACCACCGGCGATGACGGCCGCGTCAACACCTGGGAGTCCGCCGGCGAAGGAGGCCAGAAGCTTGACGAAATCCTCGCCGCCAGCCAAGGGTCCGAGCAGTGGACGCTGAACTTCAAAACCGGGGAATACTTCAAAGACACGACTGCCTTCTTCCCTGAGGCCACCGTCGCCTTCGTCGTCGACCAGGGCGAGCGCTACCACGTGCCTCTGCTGCTGACCCCCTTTAGCTATACTACGTATCGCGGAAGCTAGACGGCCGAGTTGCCTGCCGTGGAGACAGTTCTGCGGGGTTCTAGCCGCATCCTGGACGAGGGAGTACCTGCCGTGGCCAGTTAATAAGGATGCATAGTGAAGTTTTAGGAGCTTATCCTTCATGTTCCGGGCTCATAACTGTTCGTTAAAACTGGGTGGATGAAAAACATGGAATTGTTGATTGTTGTCTCCTATAATGTATAGGTAGCTTCATAGGAGATGCCTGAGCTATTTGAATATATCAACTGCCTCCTAAACCACTCGGCGTTTTCTCCGTTGTAACGGGTTGTACGAGAAGTTCCGATAGGAGCTTGCAACGTGTAACGGCCAGGGTTCCCAAGGGATGAACTAGTCAGAGTTTATGTTGGCAGAGCCACTAGGGCAGTCAGTCTGAGCGGTTGGGTGTTACGTTAGTGATAGGTCGTAGACCGTAACCAAGTGATTAGAGTCAAAGCGTAGACAGCTGGGCTTTGGTCAATGTGATGATCAGCGTGGTCATCAATTCCATTGCATCCATTTTACAGCGAAATTGAGTTGCGTTGACTGCTTACTCAGCATTTTTTCCAGTGGAGTTGAAAAAGTTGATCAATGTCACAAGCAAATTGAGTTGATTTCATCAAGTTGAAGACGTTGAACCATCCACCCCCTGTCCAGGGACACACGGTGTAAGCACACGGCCGCCTAACTACATTCCAACTCACCATCCCATATTATACTTGACGTCTTCGGTCCCTCAAGGCCTTGAGGAAAACCAAGGACCTTTGATACCAAAGACTGTTATTAGTTGAATTGAGCTAAATTGCTCCAAGCCCTCTATTGAGCCCTTGTCACAACTTGTATCATACGTGTAATTTCATTTGGCTACAGAGCGAAACAACTGAAAATTAAAATTAATATTTATATATTCCTTGTGACACCTGGCTTAATGCTCTCCAAGATTTCCACCAACTCTCGAAACACCTTCTTCTGGGTCCTATTACCCTCCTCTGAAGTCACAAATTCATGCGGCGTGCTTAGCTGACAGTCCTCCATGTAGACTCCATGACTCTTCAATCCTGCCGTAGCAGCCGCGACATACGTTCTCGCCCCCATTTCGGGCGTACGTCCAAAAAGCCCAAAACCGACGCTGGTGATCATCTTGTAGTACCACGGCCAAGAATAATTCTCCCGCAACAGTTGCGTCTTGCAGGCCCCGGGCTCGACCATGTTCAGCACGACCTGCTCCTTGCCCTGCTCCCTCGCGCTCATCGTCATTTGTGCTGCGACTTCCCGACCAGTCAAGAGGCTCATGAGCTTTGTGTTGGCATACCGGTTAAGCATGTCGTGGTCATGCTGGAAATGCTTAAAAATAAAGGGCTCATTACGGCCTTCGAAAGTAGTGTAAAAGTGGGCATTGGAGCAGACCACGACTAGATGTGGGATGTCATTAGTATCCGGATCAGAATCGGGCGACGAGACATTCCTGTTGGGGTAGAAGTTTTGCTTGGTATCCCGTAGCACGGGAAGAAGCAGCAAAGCCATGAGCCAAGTCGAAATGACATTGACCGTGGTTAGGCGCTCGTAGCCCTCTGCCATCTGGTATAAAATGCTTAGGAAGCCGGCGTTTTCGACGACAACATCCAGACGGGTCAGGCTGGCGGCGCGACTGCAAAAGGCTTTGACGCTGTCGAAGGATTCCATGTCCACCTGCCAAACCTCGACTCTATCCGGGTCGAGAGTGGCGTCAATACGCTCCGTTGACTCTATGTCGCGCTTCGCGGCTTGGCCCTTGTTTAAATCTCGACAACCGAGGATGACCTTTTTGGCTTGGAGGCGGATAAAGTATCGAGCTGCCTCGAGCCCAAGCCCTGTGTTTGCACCCGTGATGAGAACTATCTTGTCGGTGAAGTCGCCTTTTGGGCAAGGCAAGGGCAGCATCTGGGTCTTGAAAGACCTCCAAAGATTCCGATTCCTACATAATGGGAGCACACACAATGTTAGCCACCACGTTGGCAAGAATCGGCGGAGCCAGAGACGTACATTTTGGGCCGTGGGGTGCCGGTATGGCACGGCGGGCAGTCGTGTCGGGGAGAACAAGCCTGTTCCAGGTAGGCAGGAGCTAGAGTTATATTGTAATTGTAAGCCAGGGATATTCAGTTTAGGCGAGGACGTGGTGTGCGTGAGTGCATGGCAGCTGTGCGGTGCTGGAGGTGGTCGTTTTGAAAAGCATTCTGTGATGGAAGAGTTTTGGAGATAGCCACGGACGGAATGCGCGAATTCCAGAGCCTGCTTGACCTTGAGACATGGGTACATATGTAGGATCAATAGCATTGATAGTAGTAACCCTGTCTTGCCCAGAGTACTTCCGCTCAGCCAAAACGTGGGTTCCAAACGTAAGCAGATCAGGCCGAGGTTGGATTCGCTTTCATGCCAAAGTAACCTGCCAGCGGCATTGGTTGGTCTTTTTGGAGCTTGTCTGATACGCAGTAGAGATTTGAAGCGTCTGGTGCTACAGTGGTACATGACGTGCTGGTTATCTGGATTTGCCACGGAAGAACCACCAGAAAAGAGTCAACTCAACCTACGGAGCAACGCTCCATGTTTTCAATTATTATAAATACACTTTGTGAACTTGTACATAGCCTTAGACTTTCTATCATTTCCCCACCATTAAATCGGCAATCATGGCCGCTTCAATTTCTTCTTTGCTGTCACTGCCGTATGACATATTGCGCTACTTCGCTGCAGTCTTCTCATCATGTACAGTCGCGTCTTCACCCCGGACAAGACCATTTTCTGTTCTAGAAACGGACGAATCTTCACCAGGAGCCTCAGCAAGACCAAATTCCGTCTGGTGATTTGTCCGTAGGTCCACATGTCTCAAAAAAGAGGCGGCGACGAGGCCCAATCCCGCGATGCCAACCAACATGAGCCAAATGACTCTTAATGAGCTCACATATACGTGAATTACCTGTCCCCTGGTGGGCTCTGGCAACTTTGCGATTGATAGGTCGCCATTCTCAGAACCAGACGTGAATGTATAGGCACGGCCGTCTGTCAGCAATTGTCGCATGTTGGCGTCATCCACGTAGTGCAGGTTATGGTTTACCTGGTCATTGAAGACAATGGCGGACATGGTAACGCCCCAAACCAGCCCAAGGGCTCTCACAAATGCAAAGGCACTGGTAGCCGTCGCTACATCCTTTTCTGCGAGTGATGCGAGCGCCGAGGGCAGCGAGGCGGTGAAGATGAAACCCGCTCCGCAAGCAGCAATAATCTGGTAACCGATCCATTTGCCGCGACTAGAGTCCCTGTCCAGAGTGGAAAACAGTCCAAGACCGATGGTCATGATGGCGAAGCCGGCCCAGTGCAAGGGTTTGTATTTCCCTGTTTTAGACAAGGTACCTGCTGCTGTACTGCCAAATACCACGAGGGCGACGGCAAAGGCCAGGAAGCAGATGCCCGACTCGAGTGGCGTTGCGTCCTTGACAGCCTGAAAGTAGATTGGTAGAAAGGTACTGACGGCTTGTACGATGATTGATGCGAGAAAAATGATGATGAAGGCCATGACTGCCGTAGACTTTTTGAAGATCCGGGGAGGCATGGTAGGTTCGGCACAAAACCGAGAGGCCTGATGGACGTGGAAGACGGCCCAGCCAACGACGCCCAATACGATGGGCATAACGACTCGCCATGAGCCCCATTCGTAGCCAGGCGTGCCGCCCATGATGAGGCCGAAGAATAGACTGGTCATGGACGGCATGAAGATGGCATTGCCCAAGAAATCCACGCGAGCGAGGGCGGCGCGCCACGTCTGACGGCGCCGGGTTTTGACCTGCAAGAGAAAAAATATGACCAAGGCAGACGCTCCAGACACTGGTAGATTCAGCCAGAACACCCATCGCCAGTTCACCTCGGCCAAGGCACCGCCGATGATGGGGCCAATGGTGCTACCAAGGGCAGCCGTCGAGAGCATGACACTCAGATACGGTCCGCGATGCCGGGGCGGAAGCAGATCGCAAATCAGTATCTCGGGGAGGACATTGATGCCGCCAGTGCCGAATCCTTGGATGACACGGCCGCAGATGAGCATGCCGACGTTGTGTGCGCCGCCGGCGATGCCGCTCCCGATGGCAAACAGCGCCATGGCAACGAACAGAGGCCGACGACGCCCGAAAATGTTTGCAATCTGGCCATATAGAGGCTGCGGGATCGTGCAGGCGAATAGATACGACTGGGCGACCCAAACGTACTCGCTTGCGCCGCCAATCTCGCGCGTGATTGTTGGCAGCGACGTCGTGATGACCGTCGCGTCGATGCCCGAGTTGAGGGTCAGCAATGAGAGAACAGCGCAAATCGTCAAGATGCGCCAAGTATGCTGAAACTTGGCCGGCGCGTCAACATGATGGTCTTGAGTGTCCTTGGATACCTCTGCCTCTCTCTGCTGGGAGGTGCCGTGCCCAGGCAGTTGAGGCTGCTGTATCTCGGCATCGACGTCTTTTGCCGCCATTTGCAACAGTCAAATGGCCAAATCGTCTAACAAGAGGCCGTTGTAAATGCTGAGAACGGAGGAGGATGGAAATGGCAAACACCAGCAAGGCGGAAGACAAACGTCTGGTCAACGGTAGCAAAAAACTTGAGGCTCACCAGACATCAAGCACCCCAAGCAGCAACGCACGGGGCGGCTGCGGACCGGGCGGCTGCGGCTGCTTGCTTTGAAAGAAAAGACGGGTGTGCACAAAAAAAGCAACAGATGACTTAATTTGCACTGCATGTCTCGAGCTCGCCGGCTTGAAGGGGTCGACTGGTGGGTGGTCAGCAGCCGGGGGTGGTGAGAGATGCCGAGTTCATTCATGTCTGGTCAATGTTGCCCGAAAATGACATGTTGGCTTGCCAGACAAAGGAAAACACACAAGCCAACGACCAACGGCCAACAACTTTGCACCAGGCCGCTTGACGTGTCACAACACAGCCCGGATGCCACCAGACGGCACGCGGTTGCGGAAAAGCCCCGGAAAAGCACCATCCTGTCAAGCACGGTCAACAGACGAGTCGAGTCGAGTCAAGTACTCGCATCGATGCTGATGTCAGGAAGTAACATTTGAAGCCCCCTCCCTCGCCTCTGCACCTCGCCCTGTTTTTACACGCCGTCGAGCTTCTCACGTCGACTTGACATTTCCCGCTTTCAAAGACAATTCGTCACCTCTCCCGACATCGTCAGCCTCTTGCTCTTGCTCTTGCAGTCGAGGCGAATAGACTCTCCGGCAGACAAGCAACAGCACCACCGTCGCCATGTTCCAACACGTCAGCATCCGCCACATCCCGGCTCTCTACTTTGCCTTTGCCAACTGCGTGGGCCTTGTCATGGATCCTCTGAGCGGCCCTCGCAGCCTCATCGAGCTCTACGGATTGCCGCCGGCCATCGCCAACGTCCCGGAGACATGGCCCGTCTGGCGGGCTGGCCAGGGACGCACCATCCTGCTGGGCCTCCTCATGCATGTCTTCTACTGGCGCCGCCAGTACGCCGTGTGCGACGTCCTTCTCATGGGAACCGCCTTCCTCGGCATCAACGATTGCATGGTGGTGTGGCACAACGGGGACAAGACTTGGGCCTGGATTCGTCTTTTTGGCACCTTTGCGTTTGCGGCTGCAGGATTCTTCGGCCTCACTCAGGGCCCTGGTGCCAAGAACAAGACTGCTTAGGATGCTGTAGCCTCGTTGACAAATATACCGCCCGGCAGGAGAGGCGGGTTGGTCATGGGAGTTCGGCTCCGAGCGCATGGAGCTTGGGAGCATGAAGCATTTGGAATATGCCGGTACCGTCGATGGATGGGCAGAAGGGATGGAGGGGGGGATGGCCCAATCATTAGTGGTATTCTGAATCAAGTCTATATTCAAGTTGGGGCCGTTGTCTATTTCTGTGCCGACATGGAGTGAATACGATGTTGGGATTCCGCCCCAGGCCTTGCCAAACATTGACACGACAAATACACAGAATGAATTCAGCGAGTGGCCAACACTCGATCCGCCTTGCCGTGTATTTCGGAAACTAGTAAATGTATATTTACATAACAGTTGGAGTTACCGGCTTCTGTGTCAAGCTGGGACTCGGAACAGAATATAAACCAAGCCCGGCATCACGCTGAATTCTGCATCTCCACCGCATCTCAGTCGTAGCTTATCTTTCAACTCATCATGATGTCCTTTTGGGTCCTGAACCACCTCTCTCGAGGCCTTGTCCTTTACGGCCTTTGCCTCATGCTAGCTGTAACGCTGTCTGCCTTGCTCAACGGCTTGTTCAGTCACAAACGCAATGAGCTCAAGCCAAGAAGCTCCCGCTTCATTCTCCTTGAACCTTTTTATACTCTTAAATCGCGTCTCGTCGCGTGGTCCTTTCTCATCCGGGGGCCCTCCATCATCCAAACAACTTATGAAAAGGTACATGATGGCGAGGGCGAGCAGAAAAAACCCGTCTATACGAAATACTCAGCTAACTCTGGGCCAAGTCGAATGGCGCGCCGTTCTCTGTAGATACCCCAAATAATACCATTGTCCTGGTCTCGGACTGGAAGCACATCAAAGAGATCAATGCTGCTCCAGAAGGCACTCTCTCGCTGCTGGGAGCCGCCAAAGACGTGCTCCAGCCAAAGCACACCATGACAAACTTTAACTGGACGAACAAGCGTGGTTCTGATGGCGCGCCGCTGCAGATGGCTTTGCGAGGTCGCCTGGCTGGCCATCTGCCCGTGCTTGTACCTGAAATACGCAGCGACCTGTCGACATTCTTTGACCAGCGATTTCAATCTTTTCCAACAGTCCTTGGTATGGCCGCTCCATGGCAGTGTCGAGGCGAAGTTTTTGCCCTTGATCCCCTCTCTATGGATTGAATGGCCTTGTCTGACATTTTCTGACCTATCCTTGTCTTACTAGGGGCGAAACAAGGAGCCATATTCCCATTGATACTCGGGGCAGTTGCAAGGTCCAACGCGCACGCCTTTTTCGGACCAGAACTTTGTAAGCGTAATTCAAATAGTGCTTGAATAGAGCATAGAAAGTCTTTTTTTTTTTTTTTTTGGTGTGAATGCTAATAGTTGCTGGTACAACGTAGCCCGAGATGCAACCTTCTTAGCAGCCGGCATCAAGATGATCGAGCACACGCTGATTATTGCCGAGATTCTGCGCATGGTCCCGGGCATAGTATCCGAGTAAGTAGTATACTTGTCACACTAGCTCAACTCCTGACACGGCCTTTGCAACTAACAAGCACCAACCAAACATAGTCCTCTCGGCAAATTCTTGTCGAGCCGGCTTGACTCCGGTAGCGTCATGACCGACGCCCTGGTCGCCGTCGTCTCGGAGAGATTTCGAGATGCAGAGCTCCGCAAGCTGAGACATGACATTCCCGAAAAGAATGACTGCATCCAATGGATCATGGACCATGCCCCCCGACACAAGCCCTGGGGTGTGATGCGGGTGGTGCATGAGCTCATCGCGGTGTGGTTTGGATCCGTTCACATTGCCTCAACCACGGCTTGCGCTGCCATCTACGATCTCTGCGACAGGCCCGAATACGTGGACATTCTTCGAGAGGAAATTGAACAAACGGGGTGGGAGGCGTTTGACAAGGCCGGCGGGCAGATCTTGCCGCTTATGGATAGTTTTCTCAAGGAGTCGGCGCGCCTCAATCCCATTGAGTCTGGTACAATCCCTACAGCCGCGTTTCCAATCATTCCAACACCATGTGTACATGTAGTCAGTCCAAGCTAACCAGGTTGCGGCAAAACTAGTCAGCACTCGCCGAAAAGTCCTGAAGCCGTTCCATTTCTCGGACGGGACGTCGGTCCAGCCGGGGCAATGGGTCTGCTCCGCGCCGAGAGCAATGAACCGAAACCCGGAAACTTGGGCCAAGGCTGACGAGTTCTACGGCTTCAGGTTCGTTAAGCCCGAAGTTCTTGACGCGGCTCAGAAAAGCATCAGCAGCTTCGCCACGGTTCTGCCCTCGGCTGAATCCAATGAGTCGTTTACAATCCCCGAGGCGGGCAAGGCATCTGAGTACATAAATTTGTCAGACTGGCAGCAATGGGGAACCGGAAAGGCTTCGTGGTATGTACTATCCTATCCCGTGATTCGCTTGTTCCCTTGCCACTTGTCATTTCTTACTCGTAGTTTTCTTCCCTCTCTGCGGTATGCTAACTGAGTGCCTAGCACGGGAAGATGGTATGCCGCTGCAGCGATTAAAACCATGATCGGGCTGTTCATCACCAAATACGACTTTCAACTTGTGGACCCCAAGGCTAAAAGATATTTTTCTTGGAGGACTTTTATCTATCCGTACGAAGGCACACCGATTGCTCTGACGCCGAGAATGGTACTGGACAAAGAGTTGGGACAGTAGGTGGGCAGGCCAGAATTCTGGTCTCACTCGGTCGCTACGCTTCTGTTATTCGTCATTACATGCGCTTCGTTATTGGTCGATTTGTAAATACTTTTTGTCACTGTCTCAAATCGATATGTCAATGTTCTGTTCCAAATATGGAGCGTGGCGTCATGTGCCCTGTCCGCAGATGGTGAATGCCGGCAACGAAAATGCAACGCAAACATTAAATTGTAAAAATTTGCAAGGTAGTGCATTCAGTCGTCTGACATGCAGGTCTGGTCTCTCTCATTTTCATTTTCGTATAATACCAGACCGAGGACAGAGTACATGCAGAGCGGTAGCATCCAAGCTAACTCGGTAGTGTCGTACCGAAATGGCGCGCTTACTTGCTTTTCTGCACGTCGACCAAGCACGATTGCTCGATTTTGCGTCGATATGCAGCCGGGTCTGTTTGTCAGCCATTGTTTAAAAATGACTACATCCAGCAGCCCCCAACGGTGCAGCAGCCCATGTGAAACCGGGAGGAATCTGAGAACCCTTCCACCCCCCCTATTCAGTTTCCACCCACCCAAGATGCTGCCGCCCTACAACCCGTCAATATTCCCCATGGGGGTGAGAAAAGACCAGACAGGTTGGGGATGAAGAAGGCTTGGAACCAACAGACAGCGCCGCACCGAGTAGCATGCCAAGCCCGAGGAGCAGACGGCCTCAGAAGTGGCCGGGTGACCTTGGCGTAATCCTTCACTTCGTTCCCTCGCTCCCAGTTCTGTTTTGCCTAACCTGGGGTGACTTGTTTCTTGTTCAAATGCCGCTCGAGCTACAGCAACTATTCTTCATCTCAGCCGCGAGCAAGCCCAGCTAGACCACTTCCAATGGATGCCGCACCCATGTTTCGAACCGAATCGCTAGGCCGTGGGCCATCAAGCCGGGCTCGAATAGTCATGGCTCTAACGTGGACGTTTTGGACATTTGCCATTCTATCCGTCTGCTTGCGCTTCTACGTAGGGCTCAAGTGCAGACACCGGGTTGCCCTGGATGACTGGGTCATGCTCGTCGCCTTGGCCTGCCACACCTTGTTCCAGACCTTTCTGACTCTGGCCTGCGTCACCGGCCTTGGCTACCCCGTGGATACAATGACCCTGGAGGAAGTCATCGCAATGTCCAAGTGGCAATGGGGCACCGTGCCGGTCAATCTTCTCGCCAACATCATCTCCAGAGTCTCCATTGCCATCATGCTCGTTCAGATATTCGGCGTCCACAAATGGTTCAGGAAAGTCATCGCCGCCGTTACCGCTACCGTGACGACGCTTGGACTCGTCAACTTCATCTACGTCTTCTTCCAGGCAAAACCATTCCAGGCAAGCTGGGATGTTCGAATCGAAGCCGAGTGGCGCCTGAAACCTCTTGCACACTATATTCTCATATTCATTCAGTGTGGTGGGTGAAGCTCTCGGCGACTTGCTGCACCCTAGCTAACTCTCTGTTCTTAGTCCTGTTTGCCTTGTCCGACTTCATGTACGCCTTCTTCCCCGTCATCTTCATCTGGAGGCTCCACCTGGCTACCCGGAAGAAAGTTGGCCTGATTTTCATCATGACGGGATCCTTTATTACCATGATGGCTGCTATTGGCCGCGTCGTTCTTATAAGAGACACGTTGACTGGCAGCGCCGATAGTTCTCTGGACTCGGATCGCATCTTCGTCTTGTTCGGCATCACTAGCCTCTTGGCCTCGGTCGAGGGGTCACTCGTCATCATTCTCGGCAGCTTGCCCAAGCTGAAGGCTGCCACGAAGCTCAAGTCGTTTGAGGCAATTTCTTCGTCCTTCAGCTCTCTTATTGGCAGGCTTCGTACGGGAGGTCAGTCGGACGCTCCATCGTCGGCGACCAACTATGGCCGGGCAGAGTCAGATATCGAGCTTTGTGCATCTCATGGACATGGCATGGTTTGCTCTCCTGGGTGTAAGCACCATTGCTCTGCCCGCGCAGTGGACATGGACTCGATGGCCAGTGCTTTGCCTCGAGGTTGGGAAAATGAATTCCAGGCGGTGGAGGGTCACGCTGTCATTTACGGACCGGAAGCCAAGAACTATGTATAACGCAGAGGTGGAAATTAAGAATGAGAAACCGACGAGTCTATCTAGTACGAAATACGAATACGAGGGTAAAAAGTTAATATACGTTAACAAGCGTAAAAACGTCAAAAAGTTGATTATATATAATAGTAGTTATTAAACTTAAACGCATAATAAAAGTATATAAATTAAAGTTAAAACGTAAATATAAATCAAATATATTATATAATATACCGCAATTTCTGAACTTCATATAGCTAATATAGAATAGTTTGTAGAATAATATTTGTATAATACGTATATTATTATTTATATTAAGAAAAAAGCTAAAAATATAGCTCAAGGTCTTTCAGCTTTGCTTTTCTTTCTTTCCTTCCTTATCTTTACATACATATATGTACTCGTAGTAGTGGTTTAGCTATTTGTCAATATACTCAGCTTGCACCGCCAAGGTTGGCTGGTCTGGTGCACAGTGCCTGCCCCCCCTGGACTATCCCCGTACTGTCTGGTCTGGTCCAATCAAACACCGACCACACATGTGTAGTGCCCCCAGTGCCCGTATAATTTACTACTGTCACCCGCACTGTGCTACAGGTCGCTAACAAGACAGTATGACGCCACATGCAATCACTTACACAGAGCCTGAGAGCAGGTCTTGGAACTTTACATATTGTAGCCTCAAGTGTCTCCTGGTGGTGTCTGCACATAATTACTAATGTCTGGTCGCACTGAGTCTTGTCAATAGTTAATGCACTCACCACTACAATGCAACCCGACGTTGCTGTCTCGCATTATGCAGCCTTCCAACAGAGCACATCTCCGAACATTAAAGTGATATCTCCAAGCTCCGCTACCTCATATTCTAACATAGTCTTGAAATCACTGTCATTCCACATTGACTGCTAAAGTACAGTGGATCATCTCTTGGACAGACTTCCCAATGCTCAGTCGCTTCTGGAGCCGTCAAGCAACCGCGTGGGCCTAGGAATTGTGGCATTACTGATCATGGGCAGCGTCATTTTTTCCAAGGGCTGGTGCAAAGCAAATCCTCTGGCGGATATTCCCTCGGTCGGACGCGGAAGCGAGTCAGCTCGCAGGAGGAGCCCAGAGACTCTACGCTGAGGGTTATCAAAAGGCAAGAGACTCCGAGTTTGTCTTGCAGAATCTCGTGTTGATGCTGAAAATAGTACAAAAACGGAATTTTCCACATCACAACACCAAGAGGTAAGATGAAATATATCCAGCCCCAGACCTACGGAATGCGGTGAATGTAGTATTTGACGTTTACCGGGTGCATCGGCAGAGTCACCGTGTATTGTGATTTCACCCCAATTTCTGGCAGAGCTCGACAAACTTCCCGAGGATGTCTTGAGCCACAGAGCAGCGACTGACGAGGTATCATGGCCATTGACCACCAAGCTTGTCGCGAGCGTCTTGGTTTTGCTAACGTTTTTATCGAATAATAGTTGATGCATGCCAAGCATATAAAGTTGAGCGGTGCACCGGCCGACTTTCAACAAATTACCAAACATTTCATCAACCCATCCCTTGGTTAGTGACACACTCCCACTCCTACAACAATGTCATCTGCAACAAAAAACGCTTGAGTGCCCTCTTTTGACAGCTTATCAGGTCGCTTGGTGCCACTGGTGTCGGAAACGCTTGACCAAGCCATGAGCATGGAACTTGCTGGCGTATCAGGATCGGCGCCAGTCAAGATAAACAAATTGCTTCTTCGAATAACGGCCATGGCGTCTGGTCGGGCCTTTGTTGGCCCTAAGCTCTGGCATGAAGAGGAATACATCGACAATGCCATCAACTTCACCACGGATGTCATGATGGCGGTTGCTAGTGTAGCCTTCCTGCCGGTGTGGTTACGGCCTGTCCTCAGTCCAATCATGCCATTGGTCAGGGCGCTACATCGGCGAATTCAAAGTGAAAAGAAGCTAATGTATCCAGTGGTCCTTTCCCGGAGAGAGCTGGGTGCGACAATGGGATCGTCGATGAAGCCTGACGACTTGCTGGAATGGCTTATCGACAACACAGCCGGAGCTGATGTTGGTGTTTCTTGGCCCCCTTGTTACTACCAACATATGCTGACATGCATGTCAGGTTTTATACTCTTGCGGCAGAGCCTGATGTTGCAGCCATGCTCCTGGAAGAGGTACGAGAGGTACTTGGGAAGCACGAGGGCAAGTTTACTCTCCAGTCACTGCAAGAATTGAAGAAGATGGATAGTTTTGCCAAGGAGACTATGCGATATTACCCCTTGATGGCGGGTGAGTTTGTCCCGCGTTCTGATTAACAAGTCCAAGTGGATGGATGCGCGCCTACGAATACGTCCAATCACATGATTACAGCCTCGGTTCAACGCAAAGTTCTCAAACCTTTTGCTCTGTCCAACGGCCAAGTCGTCCCGGCTGGCGTTATTATCGAGTGTGCAAACAAGGCCATTTGCGACGACCCTGCCACCCGACGTGCCTTGCTACGCAGCGTCTGATTTGAACGCTAATACTGCGAGAAAAGACCATGCCAGACGTGGAAAAGACTATTGTACTCAGGAAAAGATCAGATGGTGGATTTTAGATTCGCCTGGAAATGTTGACATCTGTTGTACTACGGACGGTTAAGAGCCGCATTTCATCGAGGAAAGTTCGCTTCGTTATGCCCCATCTAGTCAGAAATTGAAGTCAGTTTTTGTGCTCCTCACTAGTCATGCACTGGGACAGTTGTACGCTCACTTGAATCGGAGATTTGAGCAAGGCTGGTTGACCGGCCACCTGCATGTCTCACCCAGTACGGAGTAGTGCTGCTGTCACGGACGCCCGCCCGTTGTTGGCCGAGGAGTTTAATTCAATGACTTGCCGACATGTCAGCGTTGTATTATGATATGCAGTCACTATCAGCTGTCACAAAACCACATGTCGTACGGAGTCTGGTAGTACTACTCCGTACCCAACAGATACTGGTCACAACTTACCAGTCATGGGGGCTGAAAAAACATTGACGGGACATGCACACCTCGTAAGCAAGCATGATAGTGTCTCGGACTTTTCGTCTACTCGCTTCTGAGACCAACCATTGTCATGCGTGTTTAGCAATTTTAACAGTACAACCAATAGTAAGACTACACCGCGGAGTACTCTGTCCTACTCGGCAAAAGTCAAGTACGGAGTACGGAGTACAAACCGTCTCAGTTCCGTCCATCCTTAATAAAATCAGCGCATCTCTCAGATATCATGTAAGTAGGCGCCATGGGGTGTCCCGGGGGAACACAAGGCAGGACACTCGCATCCGCGATTCTCAGGTTCTTGAAGCCATGGACACGCAGTTGGCTGTCAACAACCCCCCCGTCCTCTTCCCTCCCCATGCGACACGAGCTGGTGAGATGGAAGCCAGAGCCAACGTACATTCCAATGTATGTGTCAATCTCTTGATCCGAGACGACACGCCAGTCGCCTTCTTTCCACTCCCGGGCGCCAACACTGCCCGGGCCCGCAAACACTCGAGCCTCGGAGGGATATCCGGACTGGTGAATAAAGTGCTCAGCCAAGGCGAGTGCAAAGCGGCAGGCCTTCCGTGCCACTTGCCAATCACTCGGATCTGACAAAATATTGAGCTGGATCCTGGCGTCTACCCCGGGATCGGGGCTTGTAATCTCAATGGTGCCTGTCGACTTGGGCTGAATCAAGCACGTCTGAAGCGTAATCATGGATTTGCCGGGATACAGCTCTGGCAAGGATCCGATTGGGACCACCATAATCTCAACATCTGGCAGGGTTTCTCCGTCATCCGCAGCCTCCGTAGCGAGCACGGCGCCCTTTTCCTCGTCAAAGTGCGAAGTGCACAACAAGATTGCACGATCCACCGCCGACCTGAGCCAGCCTTTGCCTGCCACGGCATAGAGAACGGCGTGTTTAGCCCTTTTCAAGATGCTGGCTTGCAGTTGCTGCAAGGTTTCGTGAACCGGCACTTGCACATGCACAGGAAACAAGCAGTGGTCGCCTAAATTGCTCCCGACGCCTGGAAGATGGCGAACGACAGGTATCCCAACTCGCTCGAGGACCAGCCGTGGTCCGACACCGCTGAGCTGCAGGATTTTCGGTGTGCCAATGGCTCCTGCGGCGAGAATAACTTCTCGTCTGGCTTTGACCAAAGTCGGTTTCCGTGGACTCGTCTTTGAGTCTGTCTGCTTCGCTTGTGAAGACTGGACAAAGACGCCCTTGACTAGGCCAGTCGAGGCGTCGAGATGGAGCCGCGACGCAACGACACCCGTGCAAATATGCAGACGAGCCCGACGACGCACCGCGACCTCCTTTGGTAGATAGGCGCGAACGGCTGAATGCCTATGCTGTTTCGAATCAACAGTCAGATGAAGATCAAAGTACCCCATGGCTGGGCTATCAGGTCGATTTATGTCGTGTCCTAGGGGCAGCCCTAGCGCGCTTGCTGATTTTCGAAGAAATGGGTAAATGTTGGATTCTAATTCGCGATTCTGGCAGAGGTTGATGCTGTTTTCCACTTTGCGAAAATACGGTTCCACGTTTACCCAGCTCCAGTCGGGATGGGTACGAGCCCATTGGTTATAGTATGCCGGAGTTCCACGCGTATAAATCATGGCGTTTATCCTCGAATTTCCGCCTAGTGTCTCTGCTGAGAGGATTGGAACTGGCCTGCTCCCCAGGGACGAGTTTTGGCGCTTGGTGTATATTCCGTTTGCCACGGACGCCAACGGTATACGTGACTGATAACTGTCTTTAATGGGACCTTTCTCGAGCATTAATACGGTAGTCTCGGGGCTCTCACTGAGCTTTGAAGCGAGAGCACAACCCGCTGTGCCACCGCCAACGATGATGTAGTCGTAGGCCTGATCTGCAATGTCTTGCAGTCGTTTGCACGGATATTGTGAATCAAAGGGCCACATGTTCAGTGTTGCGATGTGGAAGGGGGCTTTCCGCGTCATGTGTCATGATTGCATTTCTGCTGGCTAATACTCAATAGAGAATGGCATAGGCGAGAGAAAGAAGGCCATTTTGAGAGAGCTTTCGAAGCGTACACGCTGCTCCCTGAAGCATGGATATACTTGGAATATTAGAATAATATAGGAATAATTTAGTCTGGGGTAATAAACAAATGCAAGGGTAGAGCCAAAACTATAAACCTTGTACTCCGTACCAGTAGTGGTTTCTCCTCTTCAAGCCTCACTTGGCATCATATTCTACAGGAGTGGGAAGTAACTCTACTCCGTAATATAAGCACAAGATCGAGAGTACGGTTTCCATGGTCACATGCAGACAGACTAGGTGACGGGTCGACAGCAATGCAGAGTGATTCGGGCGACGCTGATTGTGTTGCAGTGGCTGACAGAAACGGCCCGAGACTTGACTCTCGGGGCTCCTTTCCGCGACGAAAATACAATAGTATTGACATATGCAGACATGCCAGGCTTAATCTCCCTGCCAGGGGATTGTGTCTTGAAATAGGCTAACATCCAGCGTACACCATGGGTTTCTCGGTAGGATTGGCTCGGGCAATAGGACAAACCTTGGGCGGCCTTGCTGCAAAAGTGTCTCAAAGTCTTGTCGAGCCCCAATATCTCTAGTAGGTGTACGGAGTAAGCGAATGCGACTGTGACAAGGGTGGATGCATGTGCGGCTGTGAGCCTCGCGGAACCCAAAATGTATCCGTACCGAGACAATTTTGGGGGCTTATGGCCAACCTCGATGCATCATGCATCCCACCTTTAATCCCTTTAGTTTACACAGCCTATCCTATATATCGGATAACGACTTGTACCTCAGGATGGCTCCTCTTAATCTGTTAGACCAAATACTGAGAGCAGATAAATATATAATATTAACTTATTATACTGCCAACTTCCTTACTTTTTAAATACTTTTTTATTTTTAATCTCTTATCTAAAAATATATTTATAGCACTATTAGGGTTTTCTTAATAAAGATGCTTCACTAGCTAGCTTCGCATAGAAGGCCTCCGTTACCGTCTTATTGAGATAGTCCAGACGATGCCCACAAGGATACCTAAGTACATCGTCCACAGAAGGGTTTGAACTGCAGCAGTCACCCCAACAATCGCTAATGTGATTAACGACTGGAATGTGAGGGTTTTTGCGATGGCTATTATCGATGATGTGGACGATGGTTGGTATTGCCACCTCGTGGAAAACATTGAACTGGGGTTTTGAGAAGATGTCAGAGAGGCGAATGTAATCTTGAAAGAAACGTCTCGGTATGTAATATATATCACTCCATCCTAAGCACCACTCACGATCGTTTATTGTGTAGTTTCTGGTCAAGGGGCTTGACCTGGCTGCCGAGGCTGCGTTCATTGCGTTTTGGTGAACATCTCTATCCCACCCCCACCAGTCCTGCTTCGCCGTGTCACTCATGCATATAGTAAATGGACCCTTGGTCTTGTCTGTTAAAAAGGGAAAGTAAACGTTTTCCAAGTTCATATCACTCCACGCAAGGGGGTCGATCCAAGAATCGAAATGAAAATAGAAAAGACCGGTTATCTCAGGCTGTGTATCTAGAATAACTTGCAATGTCAACGCCACTTGGCGGTAAATGAGGGGAGTGATCTTGGCCGCGTCTTCCGTTAGGCTTGTTTTATTTAATCCCGGCCCTGGAGTCGTCTCGTTCGGCATGGATATGTGCATAGTATGGAAGAAAGGCTTGTATTTCATAACGTGCGGGATGCGTTCCGGGCGCGCTCCGTTCCAGCGAACGAACGCGAGTGTCTTTTCGAACGGTGAGGTGACGGCCGCAGACGTACCGCCGACCGCATCAGAAGCCGAGAAACTGGAGATGGACATGGCAGCTATCATGGCCAAAGTGATGAGCTGAGCTATTCCATACAGGACTAGATAGAATTTGCGCAGTTTCAGCAGTGAGGAGGTCCAAGGGCGGTGTTGGGAGTTGCTTGCATGCGAGCCGTTCTTGTTGGGCTTTGGTGTTGGATTCATCGCGTACAACCATGAAGCGCCAAACACGACTATCGATCCAGGGACAATCAAGAAGTTGAAAGTCGTTCCAAAAAATATTGGCGAGAGAAAGATGAGTATGGCCGTGGCAATGGCCGTTGCGAGACATTTAACAATTGCATTGGCATCTGCTTCGTCGTTAGGATTCAGCGGCGCAAGCGATGCCAGGGGCAGAATACTTGCATTTATACACTGCGTTTATAGCGAGGCCAATCAGCACATTATTTATAATGATCAAGATGGCATGTAGGCTGCCGTACCCCTCAAAAAAGCCCGGTTCATCTGGCTTGGTAGCTCTCAAGAGCACGTGGCACAGCAAGTTACTCCATGCACCAGAGCCGTACAGGATGATATTGCTTGCATGTAAGCTGGCGTTGCTCGCTTGCAGGAGGCCTTGATTGACAACGCCAGATACTGCACTCAGAAACACTTGAAAAATCAGGAGGAGGTATACTCCGACCGAGTAAACACCACCGGCCGTCGGATCATATTGTGTAACGAGTAAGCCGCAAACCTGCTGCCAATTAGACAATATTCTATCGTGAAGAAGACATGATGGTCCACACCTGCAGGACGATAGCAAGCCACTGGGTGCCAGTGATTTTTGTGTCGAGGGTGAACATTAGGACTAAAGCCGTGATGCACGTTACGCCGCTCTTGGTCAATGAGATGGTAGCCGGGTCGGCAACTTGGTAACTGACGAAAACCTGCAACCATGTCAATAATCATGGGCAGCTCAAACAAAGACTTTGCGCGGAACCGACCAAGTTGTTAATAAGTACGTAGAAAAGCGACAAGAGGCCCAGGCCAAACGCGATATCAGTAGATACTTCTTTCCTCATGGCTGTCAAGAAAGAAGGCTCTACCCGGAGCTCGTTTTGCTGAAGAGCCTCATCCCCCATCTCGCGTTGCTTGTCATATTCCTCGAGTGGCCTTTCCATCTCATATCTCAGTGGAACAGAGTCATCAGATGTGGAAATTGGCAGATAGGCTCGCCCTGCGTTTTCTGCCACTCTTGCCGCCCACTCGCGATAAAAGAAGCCAATCGCCAAAAGCATCTTCAAGAATTCGGAAATGGTGACGGATGACGACGGTGAAAACGCATAATGATTGTCGGTTTGCGCGGCTTTCAGAACGATGCCTATTCCGACCTGGATCAAGACAAGGGCAGCGGCACTGTACACGGCATACCAAAGCCTTTGAGGTAAGACGGAAGCTATCCCTTGCGCAAGACTGGTTGCATTTTTTGATATAACCATGGCGTGGTCCTGTTGCCACAGTTAAGAGGCAATAATGCTTCAAAGCGATGACAAAGCAGAGAGGGAAACCAGTACCGAGTTTCCAAGAACTATAAATATATAATTGCGGGCAAGGTTCTTTTAAGAGGATGGCTCTGTAGGAACAGAAATCCTAAATCGACTTGGGAAGATAGGCTTAGGTGTAGACGTTAACTGTCGCTGGGCATTTTTGAGGAGGAGCTCGGAATTGCTGGTGGAAATATCTTGGAATTCATACCATCATGTCTGGTAGCTCCACATGAAAAAGGTTTACAAGATACATGCAGCGCTATGACTCACGTATACAGTCAATACAGTCTGCCCCCTGAATTATTCCTCGTGCGTGACCTGACAGGGTAGCTGGTAGCAGGGAGTAATATATTAATTATGGCACCTGGGCTTATATATTTCAAGAAATCAGGTGTCAGGAATGGTTTCATCCATGTAAAGCTTTTGTTAATTGGTTATTGGCCCCCTGCCAGGTCATGCATGTAGAATAATTCAAGGTTTGGATCGACTGCATAGTTGACCAGTTTGGTGGGTCTACTTGCTGGACGAGTCAGGTAACATTAATATATTTGAAGCGATTTTGAAGCGACTAAATCTAAATGGGGCTCCAAATTATGCACAATTGATACTGAACATAAATCAGAAATCCAATATTTTGTAACCAGGCGCTCCACTCCTGTATCGTCTTCAATGCTAGAAGAATGTCTTTGGGCAAGCAGCAGTGGCCTTTACAATAAAAACCCTTGACTCAGCTGCAACCATTCCTAGAAAATCAACATTGAAGGAACCAGCATGACATGACCCCCGGTCCTGACAAGATTACACGTGGCTAGAGATGCATTGCTCTTGAGTCTCTGGCTTTTTCCGGCATTACTCCGTATAGTGGCTGGAGCAGGGTGCCATGGTTCTTGGTTTTGTTTTCATACTGCTTCCTCGACTTATAAATATACAAAAAAGCCAGTTACTTTTTGTGCCGCCTAGAACCATAAGCAAGCGACCAGACGTCAGCTACACTAGCATAATTCATGATGCCTTCATCAACATGTGACCAGGCGCCGCTTAATGTCATCATCCCTATTGGTGGCAATGGCACGCGTTTCTCCAAACAAGGTTATCGCTACCCAAAACCATTGATCAATATGGTCGGCAGGCCGATGCTGCTGTGGATCATCGACCGTCTAAGCCTACGGCCTTGCGATACGTTGTGGGTAGCCATCAATAAAGACATTGACGACAACTTTCAAGTTGGCCAGCTGTTGGCCAAGTCGTATACCAAGATCGACATTCGAGTCGTTAGATTGCTGCATCAGACCAAAGGTGCGGCCGAGACTGTGAGTCCTGGAAAGAAAAAGAAACCTGCTCATGCGGCACAACCTAATTTTACATGTTAGCTTTACGTTACGACGCAGGGCATGCAGGCCGAGCATTTGCAACGCAGAACTATTTCGCTAGACTGCGATACCATCTATTGGACTGATGTTCTCCAACTGAGCAGGAACCTGCCGGCTCATTACGGCTCCTGCATCTACTTTTTTGACAATGGAGATAGCCCAATCTATTCTTACATCAAGACAAAAAACGAGTATGTCATTTCCGCTTCAACCATCAATGATGTGCCACTATCTAACTAGTTCAGAGATGGCCTGGAGAAAATTGTCGACATCCTCGAGAAGACAGCCATCTCAACCAAGGCGAATACTGGTGCTTATGTGTTTCCCTCGGCACATCAGCTCAAGTTTTGGGCAGCAGAGTACCTGGACAAGCCAGAGCATCTCAGTTCCAATCTTGCAGAGTATTTCACTTCTAGACTAGTTGGACTAATGCTGGAGAACGGCATCCCATTTCTAGCAGTGCCCGTCAATGAACAAGATTTCAATGTCGTGGGCACACCGGAGCAGTTGACAAGCTTTCTTGCCAGGGCCAAGTCTGGTAGTCTGCCTTCCAAAACTCCCCAAAGGAAAAGCCGATTTTGTTTCGATTTGGACATGACTCTGGTTGGAGCCCCTGTCATAGCAGGCGACTACTCTACTTGCCCGCCAATCGAGGCGAATATCAAGTTGGTCCAGCAACTTTATCATGCTGGACATCATATCATTGTCGTACGTATATTGCTCCGGTCCCAAGATGGTCGCTAACCTTGCGACAAGCAAACCGCCCGCCGCATGAGAACACACCACGGTAACATTGGTGCCGTTGTAGCGGATGTCGGCACTACGACGTTGCAACAACTAGCAAAATACAACATACCCTTTCATGATATCCACTTTGGCAAGCCCTATGCCGATGTATATATCGATGATCTTGCTGTCAATTCTAATCTCGACACGATTCAAGAAGTTGGATGGTTGCTAGACGATCCTGATTCGTCTAGTCACGAAGTCACCAAGGATGGGATGGTTGCGGCTCGCGATTTCAATACCATTCAAATCGTCAACAACCAGGTCATCAAGTCAAGCAAGCGCGACCAAATTTTAGGAGAATTGTATTTCTACTCGCATGTCCCCTTGGACGTAGCGCGATACTTTCCTAGCATTTACGGCGCCGACTACATCAAGGACACGTCCACATATGTAATTCAAATGGAATATTGCCCCGGCGTAACATTTTCCCATCTGCTAGCCGGTCGATCCATCACCAAGGGCCGCCTGCATTTGTTTCTTACAACATTGCACAAAATCCACACCGCCAAGTCTCGCTCGACCGAGACGCTGGGTATTTCTCCCGCGCTAAAAGAACAATTTGAGAAATATCGCCAAGAGGACCCAAATGCCAAGCCGGACATCTATGCCAACTATAGCCAAAAGCTACGTCGAAGGTATGAAGAGAATGCGGACCGCTACGCCAGTCTCGGTCCACTCGCCCGAGACCTCTTTGGCCGCATCAAGGAATTCCTCGATACGTACGAGGCGGGAAGAACAGCGGTGCCAGCCGATGTCATACACGGCGACCCGGTCTTCAGCAACGCCATCCTCGCAGCCGACGGGAATGCGGTCAAATTCATCGACATCCGGTGCCGGCTCGGAAACGTGTTAACCACCGCCGGAGACGTCAATTACGATCTTGCAAAAGTCCTCCAGTCGCTCTGTGGTTACGATCACGTAGTTGTTCGCTGCGAAACAAGTCTCAAGGACGAACTTGGATTTGCGCGCGAGAATTCTCCGGTTCTCACAGAATCCGATCATGCACTGCTGAGGAGCTTGAGAGAACAATTCTTCCAGTTTGTTCGGGAGACGTACCCGGGCAGCCCGCCTCCCAAAACTCTCTATGGCCTGACTGCGGCTCTGTTTTTCAGTCTTATTCCTCTTCATCGTGCTGAGCTGGGGCAGGTGTTTCTTGACATGTGCAAGGAAACGTTGGACAGGGCCACTGACGGACCAGACTATTAAAATTGCAGAAAACACTTGATGGCTTGGCATTGGAGGTGCATGTGGCGTTTAAGCCGCGGATATTAGCGGAGGATTGGAGTGAGGGAAGAAATTGGCAGAGGCGAAAAGCCCACCAAGTACCCGACTTGTAAGACATGGACGCACTGTAAGAAATATATCATGTAGATGGGACAGTGTGATTTACTAGCCCAAAATGAAGGGAATTGCCGCATGGGCCTGGCTCTTGGCACGGCTTATCTGCCCCCGGATTGTTGATTTGAAGGTCAACTGGTATTGACTTTATAGCAAAGGCGGCAACTAGATGTGGCTTCTCTGTTAATGGAAGAATTGCTCGGGCGGTAGCGGCAGCCCCAAAACACTAGCTGTTTAACCGAAAGTTACAGGGCTATCTGTTGCGATTGAACTTCAATATTACTTCTATTCAATTCTCGCTCTCATACATATAAATACCTATTGGCACGGCAGTGACTCATCATGTCTTGGTACATGACTCACACCAAGTCAACACTACCTAAAAACAGCTCATTTAATATTATTATTATTTATGAAAACGGCCTTACTTATCTAGTTGATAGATGGGTTTTGAGGCGCACTCGCTTGATGCTGATGCAATACTGCCACTACAAGAAGGTCTCACAATCTACCCCTGAGCACCGACTATGTAAATGAGCAGCCAACTCCTCGAGAGCCGCTAGTTCTCCCTCTCTATAACGTAATTAATATATTTTTTTCTAATACTTGACGCTCTGCGCGGAATAAGCCCCGTGCCTCTTACAATTACTGCCCGCCAGGCAAAAGTATAATAATAGCCATTGCTTTGAAGAAGCGACCTGGCCTCGGCAATTCCCGTCACTCTAGATTGAAATGACCCCATATGGCAGCCTCATACAGGTCTCTCGGCTGTTCGCTGACGCACATGCGGACGCTCTTGGCAACGCCGAGGAATGCCATGGCCTGCCACGAGTCCTGGCCAGCTTTGAATAAGCGCATCTGGTTTCGCTCCCAGGCCTCAGCCACGGGGACAAGAAGATTCGGGAACCGGGCCAGCTGCAAGAAACTAAGTAGAAGACCCTCGAGCATACAAGTTCCAGATGACTCACCCACTCTCTCACGTCCTCGATAATAGACAGGTCATTCACCCGCTCAGTGGGATCCGCACCCGTCTCATAGACGTACCGGGGCCACATCAAGTTCCACAATCGTTGACCTAGAAGCTGCTCTGAGGTGATGAAGCGGTACGCGGGACCTTCGACTGGACCTTTCTCCGCCCATATATAGGCAAAATAGCACACCTCGAAAAAGACCTCTTGGGGATTCCCCTCGAGCTGCGGCCAAGTCTGCGCGTAGGTGCGAGCAATCTCGGCGTATACTCGAGAGTCAAAGACCCACATGTAATATTCCAGAAACCAGCCGGCCGAAGAGAAGTTGTCGACTCGGAGCATATCTCCGCAAGGCGTGGACCCTAGACCGAATGGTAAGTCGAGGCTGAAGGTTGAATAACCTGGCAGTAGTAGTAGTAGCATAGACTTACAACCGATGGGATGGCTGCTCCCGTTCCGACTCTCAGGGGTGTGGATGGCAAAAGGCTTGTCGAGAAACTCCCTCACAATATCGGCAAGCCACGTTGTCCGCAACATGATGCCTTCCGAGTCTAGTATAAAGCAGTAACGCCTGCCGGTAGCCAGAAAGCCATATATCTTCTTGAAATCCTGCAGCAAAACTTTATGCATGCCCTTTGTTATGGAAGCCACGTCTATCTCGGGGCTGTAATAGTCAAAAGGTAGGGATTCATATTCGATAATCCGGAGACCGGGCAGGTAATACCCGATTCCCTCTTTACCAGCCCCAAAAATCTCCTTGCTGAATTGCTCAACATCTTCGCTTAAAAGAACCAAGTTGATTTGCCACAGGTGACAATCCACGCAGTGTCGTATCATGGATCTGCTCTAGACTGTTAGCGTATCGGCGCATCGCAACATGGGCCTGAGAGCCACGATACCGTAGGAATTTGATGCAGAATTCGAAGTGGTCGCGGAAAGATGGCAAGACGATGGCAGTATTGAAAACAGTTTTTAGCTGTTCCCTGCTTAGCTTGAGGGATATGTTGGTCTTGGCTAGATCGGCCTCCAGCATTGCTCGAAGCTGAAGACTGGATAACTTGTCGGAATTTTTGAACATGGGCCACCTGTTTTGCTCGGGATCCGGCTGCTCCTCTTCGGCGATTGTCAAATTCACTGTTTGGTGTAGAGTCGGAGATTCGTCAAATGTGTCGTCATACAAGATACATGCCAGCTTTGACTCTCCGTCAAAGACAAGCAGCCGACCATGATTATCGAGTGCCAGTGACTGCGGCCTCGGAGCCGTTAGCAGCATTGTATCCCCCTCGACTGGCAAGCAGCGGCCCGAAAGCATAGAGTCCCACCGCCGGTCGGTTACGGGATGTCTATCCTCATCCATGGTCCTGGCGAGGATCTGGACAGCGCCGCCTGCATCTATGGTCATGTAGGAAGTCTCTGGTGCCGAGTCTTTTCTCCTGTATCTCCTGCTATTTGTCCACCAGACCGGGCTCCATTTTCCATCCTGATCCGTCTCCAAGATGAGCTCGCTGTCATCGGTAAGATGCACTCGCCATTTGCCGTTGGAAGAAACGAGGGCTTTTCGCTCTGCATGTAGCACGGCATTGGGCAAATAATGTGACGCTATACTGTCCCCTGCGGCCACCGAAGCGAGAATGGGCGCCGGAATTGTCTCTGGCGATAATCCTGGGTTGGATGTCGTGTTCTCTTTCACTTTGATGACTCTGGCAATGTTGAACACATATGTCGACAGTAAAAGAAAGATGATAACGAGGATGATAACCAACCGCCTGTGAGGGTTCGAGAGACGCAGACGGGCGATAAGCGTAGGACGGCGATCGGACGAGCTGTCCAAGTCGTCGGTCGGATGTAAGCGCATATTGGCGTGACACTATCGCCGAGCCTGGTAGATCTGGCGATAGTTGTGTCGATCAGCGGCTTGAAGATGGCACTAGTGCGCCTCGCTGCATGTAAAAGACGGGCCGGCAACGTCTGCCATGCATAGGAGGCAAGAAGATTTAGCTATAGTACATTTACGTAACACTACTATTTCACGCATAATCAATATCGCCTTGCCTTTGCATAATATGACCCCTGGTACCAGTTGACGTGTCACTGCCCTGGCATGACAAGGGGCAGTTGGCCACCAAGTAACACGAGTAAGGTTCCTGTCGCAAATGTTTCGCAAGGTCTGCATGTGGTCTGGTGTTTTAATAAGCTTTGACATGAAACAGCGACGGCTACTCCGTACTTATGTAAAGACACGCCCCCTTGCCCCCAGCTGCCACGGACCCGTGTAGGTGAAGGCTGGGATCAGTTGCTTTCCTGTACTTGACTATGCTAAGGTGTTCTCTACTATCCAGCGAGGGCGAGGAATAGCTTGGGCGGATTCTGTTGACAAGATTTTTGGTGAGCTGGCAATTTTCAAATTATAAACCCACCACTTGATACTAATAATACTATCTCAGGTGGCTAGTTCGAGCTACGTATAATTACAGATTATATCGCGTTTATTTAAGTAATTCTTATAAATAATTTAACAAGACTGAATTTAATAGCTAGTAAAAGCCGGAATAATATTCTTCTAGCTACCGCCCCTTTGCCTACCCTTAGAACAGAACAACTCATCCATTAACATCACAATCTTGTACATCTCCCAAGCGCCTGAACCTGCCTCACAAGCATCAGAGCTCTCGCACCAACCGAAAGCCAAACATGTTGGTAGCGACCTCGCTAGAAAAGTACGCGCTGCGATAGTTGATCCTCAGATTCTGCGGCTGGTAGTTCCAAGCGCCGCCGCGCACCACAGGAAACGGCGCGGCACCAACATGAACACCGCCATCGGCCGCGGCATCGCTCAGGTCCCGTACCCATGTATCTGCGCAAAACTCCCTAGCGTTCGCCGTCACGTCGTATAGCCCAAAGCCGTTGGGCTGGAACGAAGCCACGGGGGCGGTCCACGCGAAGCCGTCGTCGACCGGGGTATTAGCCCAGCGGAAGCCATTGACCCTCTTGGACGTGATGTCGAAGCTGTTGGCGTACGAGACGACGTCGTCCAGCTGATTTCCCCAGGAGAAGGTGTCCTGGGTGCCGCCGCGGGCCGCCCACTCCCATTCGTCCTCCGTGGGAAGCCGGTACGTGGCCCCGGTGATGGCGGACAGCCAGTCTGCGTAGGCGACGGCGTCTTGCCTTGTGATGGCGACGACCGGCGAGTCGGGGGTCTGGGCAAACCCCGGGTTGAGGTAGTTTAGGTCTTGGTTGAAGACCATGGCGGTGTTGTTGTCTGGATTCCACCAGCGTGCGCCGCCTCGCGGCTGGTAGCTGGTCTCTCGGACAAAGGTGTCGAACTCGTCTACCGTGACTTCTGTCTTGCCGATGGCTAGAGGGGTGGCGATGCTGACTCTTCGTTGCGGCAGCTCGAAATCGCGCCGGTTTTCCGGGACCTGCCAGCGCTCGTGTTCCTCGGGGGTAGACCCTGCGGTGAAAGTTCCCGTAGGGATGACGACCATGACTGGCCCTGTGTCGGCATCGCAGAACTCGGTCCCCAGAGCAGTCTCGCGGTTGATGCCGCTGGCGGCGGTGCTCTGTCTAAGTCGCGGAGCTTGGTAGCTGGAGGGCAGCTCCAATTTCGTGCTGATGGTGTCGATGGTAAATCGCCATTCGTCGACGCTTCCCGTCAGGAACATGACCGAGTCTAAAACACTCGGTTCATAGTCTGCGGGCGCGGACAAGTCGACCAGGTATCGGCTTTCGGCAATAAGACGCTCAAGAGTCTCGGAGAACTGGTCCGCCTGCGGAATTGCCTTGTGATGTTTGCGGGCTACGGAGGTCAGGGTAGAGTAGGCAGAAAGAGCTGCCTGCTGCACAGGTGCATAGGTGTCCTGGGTAGTGCCATTCCATCGTAAAGTATTGGCGAGAGAAGTCAGGTCGGCTCGCAGCTGACTGATATTAGGCGATTCTGCTATCACGACGCCTGCAGTCGTCACGAGCGATGCCAGGAACGCGCTGACACGTATGAATTTTCCTAGCTGAGCCTGCATGATGTTCAAAGTTGGTAGCAGTGTTTTTTGTCAACAAACTTTCGCATTGTTATTCGGGGCTTCTTAAGGAATTTGGATGTCTTGCTTGCGTTACGGCTCACGAGGCTCACGTGATTAGCAATGCTTCACGATGCTTGTGAAACTGAAAGACTTCATGTTCAAATCCAATGATGAACAATTCGTCTTGACATTCTATATTCCATCGTGGTTGTATGAGAAAATCTGCATTTCGAATCAAGACGGGCCACGACGAACATGCTCCTCCGGGGCATCCCTCGGCGGACTCCGTGGAAAAGTCAGGGCAACGGAAAATGCCACGTGAACGAGTGTCTGTATTGCGGCTCCGAAAATAACATTGTTTGACTCATGCGCCTTGTTGACGATGAAAGGTAGTTCCGCCAGTCGACTATACGGCCCCTGCAAGGAGGAGTCAAGTTGAAGCAGTTGGCCTCTTGGGCAAGTTTGCCATTCTTCCGCCAACATTGAATGAATAGGCAGTATTAGTCGAACCAGGCTCAAACCATGACCTTGGCTATCTGGGCCACGGCGCCATCATGGTCCCACTGAATGAGTGTCCTGTCGGCACTTTCCTCCATTTTGATCTTGACCAAAGCTTCCATCGCCTCCGTTTCCTCTTTTGAAAGTAGGTCCAGTCTCCCTTGATAATCTTCACCCTCATTTTGCCCAAAGTAGGCGCCATCCAAGTACCTCCAAAATATAAAGTCAAAAGCCCAGCTGTTTCTAGCCGCATAATTGATCATCCACGTTTTCGTCTCCCAGCTCCTTCTCATCAATTGTGAAAGGGGCACCCCCGTGTCTTTCGTACAAGACGATGAGTTTTGCGCCTCCTTCTCCCTCTCCTCTTCTTCCAAAACACGTAGAAAGGTATTCAAACGGGGTTCATATACCTCCATCCACGAATCATACCCGCCAGGCCAGTACTCCGGGCTCTTCAAGAGCAGCCACCAGGGCGGGTCAGAGGAAAATGATGCCGGGGCAGCATAGGCAAATTCCCAGTCTATAACACCCACCACGCGAAGATCTTTATCAATTAAGACGTTGGATGGGCGTAAATCTTCAGAGTACAGCCGAAACGTGGCTTCGCGATGGGGCTGCTGCTCGGAATCAAATCCACGTGCAAGTTGCCCGCTGGATGCCAGTCGCCGAAACAGCTGCCGAGCAACATATTTGTCGCGTGCGTCATCCTCATCGACAACAGCATCATTGTGCTGGAACGTTATTTGTGCCAGATGCATATCGGCCATGGCGGCGTACCACTCCGTTGAGGTGCAGTATTGTTGCGATGGTAGTAGTGATGGGACTACCCCTGCAAACTCAACCAAGGAGTTCATGTTCTGAATAAGAGGCCGTCCCGAAATAGAAAGGAATCCGTCTTCATCCTGAACCAATGAACCTATTCGGGGGAATGACAGCGTAGATAGCTGGAGGACAATGTTGGCCATTTGTCTGTAGAGAAACTCAAGCTTTTGGTCGCTGATGTTGGCGTCCAGAACGTGGGAGTCGTCCGGTTCAAGGTCAGGGTCGTTTAATGCATGAGACAGTGTCCTGTCATGCTCTATATAATCCATGATAATAAAAGGGCCAAGGCCAGTAGGATTCTCCGCCGCAGTTCCGTAATGGTATATCTTGGGCACAGGAATAGTGGTGTTTGCCGCGACGTAACGCATTGTAGCCACCTCGTACTTGGTCTTCTCTTCGGGGAACTTGACAACAGCTATTCTGATTTTTAGTCATGTCTTTTGAGACGAGCGGGCAAGATATCGAAATACCTTTACAGGGGATCTTCATCGCAGCAGACGTGCCGTCCCTGTATTCCAGCCGATAGAATACATTGTATCCGCCCCTGATCGGTGTGTGAAGCTCTACAGCATCGCCAGGCTTGTATTTTTGTATAAGGCTGGCGATACCATAGTAAAGGTCCGATTTGTGAAGAGACCTCTCCCACGACTCGACCTCTTCATCACTTTTCTCCCAGGCAAGGTCGTCCCTTTCCATGCGAACAACTCTCGGTTTTGGAGCCATTTCGAGCCAGTCTACGCTGCAACAAAGAGGACGGTCCTGAGGGGTGTCAAAACCAGAACAATGGGAAGGGGGGAAAGTGGTGTGGTGACGTACTGCTACACGGTTGGCTCACAAGAAAGGGCGTTGGGCCAACAAAGGTTACACAACAACAAAGGCAAAGGCAAAGGCCACGAGGCCCGAAGTCGGTCAATGTCTGGTCCTAACTTCTCGGCGAGGGCTGCCTCAGGCACAAGCCCTCGCCGACTTGTTGTATTTATAGGGGGTTTCCGTCCCTCGACGGCCTCGTGCAAACTCGAGGGCATTTGATATCCCAAAGTCGATTATTATAGTCTGAATAGAACACTTCGTTCCAAGCCCTGTTACTCTGCCCCCAAGCCGTCACAGCCGCCACGAGCCCAGGCTACACCAGCTCCCAAAGAACACTCAATGCATCGACCAGACATGTGGCGACTGCATGTGTGCCTTGCGGGGGGCAATTTGCTGACTGCACGGCAGCCGTCATCAGACACAATCAAATGACACACTCATAGCAGACAGCCTTGAACAAGCTTGCGTATGAGGTGGCCATGGACCAAAAGTGACCGTCGCAGTGGCACTGATGGCCCAAAAGTTCATGCAGAGTTCATCGAGCTTGCCATCTGAACCAGATTCACTGTCGCGTCGGTGAGCTTGCGACCTCTGAATGATGCAATATGAAAGCAATATATAGCAGTCAAACAGGGTATTCATTGGAGTCAGTCCGGTTCACAAAGAGTTGCAAGGGGAGGGGGTCAATCGCCCATTGAGTGTTCAGACGGTGTGCCCATGGAGTTCAAGCGACATCACGGCACAGGTCATTTCTGTGACCCAACAATAACTGAACGAGAGGACAATCACGGCAACTTGTGAGACGCCTTGGTTCTGGGGGCCCCAGAGGCCCCTCCTACCTTTTTTCGTATAAATAGGACCTCACCATGCCAAGGGCCACGAAAAAACCAAGGACCCTCGACATCACGGAAGTCACCAGATTCAATTTTTTTCCAAAGTCCCTCCACCGAAGCCCTTTTACAATGGATTTCCCAATCGCTCGTCCTGTGGTGGAACTCGATGAGGATATTTTGCTCAAGCTTCGGAACTTTCTTGGATGGGTTCATCTTGGCCTCTTTGAAGAAGCCTCCAGGTGTTTCGAGAGATGGCTTAGAGGCCATGAGCACCATGTTTGTGTCTTTATGGAGTATACGGAAATGCTTTTACTGAAGGAATCGTACTCCACGTTCATGACTACTGTCGACAAGTTTCAACTCGAGTCCCTTCCTCAATGCCGAGACACAGATCGGGTGGATTTGGAGCATCTTGTCCGACTCATGAAAACCTTGGCCGGGACACTTTTAGATGGAATAACACAGGAGAAGCTCAGCGAGGCTCTCGAATTCTGGCACTCCATGGAATCAACATACAGCGTCAACTCTGATCGCGGGGTCAGCATCATCCAGGTTTACGCAATCGAAGTGTATATGCGTATCATCACGGCTGCGCTCAGGTCAAACCAACTGGAAGTGAAAGAAAAATATTTCGGCGTGCCCTTCCAACTTCCTCCAATACCATGTCCTTGCTCTGGCTGTTGGTACAAATATCTGATAACGAATGGCTTGCACAGGGAAGCCCTGACGTTCCAGAGCATTGTTCTTTCCGATCTTAGCGCCAAGGCCGCAATGGATGGATTCATGCGAAACGACCTGTTCGCAACCATGGTTGATGAAGACGAAGCCAAAAACATGGCCCTATGGAGGGTGGTTATGGAGTTGAACACGTCAAATGAAATATGCGAGTACTTGCTGAAGAAACAACCTGGTCTTCTTTCTTTGGCCGAGGCTTACCTCGATGTCTCGATATTCTTCAAACGAGTGCTTTCCCGAAATGGCGCACTTGCCGCCATCCATCGGGGTAGACCGCTTCTTCGCGTCAAAGAACTGGAAGAACTGGTCAACCAAAGACGGTCTGATCAGCGCTCTAATTCGCAGTGAAATGATGCGTGTTTTTTTCTCTGGTCAGTATAACGTCTTGGGATCATGCCATGGATACATGCTAACCCCGTGTACAGACTTCGGTAACGTCACGAAGGACCACGGACATATTGCACCGAAGTGGGCTACGGATGGCCAGAACACAGGCTTCGACTGCAACTCGTTGCACAATCTGGCCTTTTACACAGATGGAAATAAGGGAGACTGGGCCTTGGCCTGTCTTGTTGGAGGAAACAGGGCTCTTACGAGCTTGTCGGTCGCGACGGTTGCCTTTTCTAGGGCTCAAGTGAGGTTCAGGTCAAAAGGGACCTCGACAGGGATTTTCAGGGGTTTTGAGTAGGGGTAAAGGGAGGATTTTCAGGGTTATTTCAAGACAACGATCAATTCAACATTATCAATGTCGTCAAATTCAGCTTCCTTTTCTACTGTGCGCATTGCCATACATTGTCCATTTCTGTAACGTATTGCAAGGAGGTATAATTACCTCGTAAATAATGCATGTTCTTGTTGACACATGGTCCCTATTTCAAGAGATCTAGTAGCTTGAACCACCCGTGCTATAAACTCTCCTTGGGTACATGATTCCTTCAAAGCACCATTTAGTCCAAGTCTACCTTGAGAATACGACTAACACGGGACTTCGTAACATGGCGAACAGTCACTAAATCACGGCAGATAATTCTGCCCCACGTTCAAGTACTCTCATCATACTAGATTGGCGGCCCTATATTCGCTATATTGACGCCGGGCAGACCGAGGGGCGAACAGACCATCCAATCTTCCGTGTCACAAATCCAACCCCGACTTTGCAATCGCTACCTTTCCCCACGGCGACGGCGGCGCACCATGCCTCAGACCAACCAGTTCCACATCCGGCCCGCACGCTCGGCCGGCGACGACGCGCAGTTTATCATGGCGGCATTCGACTCCACCATCCCGTACCTGAGATCCATCGGCGCGGCGGGAATGTGGGGGGAGAAGCCCTTCTCCGAAAAGGACGGCTTCGAGCAGGAGACGGTAGAGTCGGTCCACAAGTCGGAGCGCGAAGACGACCCTCTGAACATCTTAATCGCCGAAGTCGAGCAGGGCCAGCGGCCTCCGACCCGAGTTGGGCTCGCCATGATACGCGAAGACTCGTTGCCGGCGTACATCACGGAGCGCGAGGAGATGAAGCCCGAGGTCGACCAGGCGAAGCAGTTCATCTTCCTAGAAGTCCTCATTTCAGACTACAGGACAACGCCTCTTCACAAGGGTGTCGGCGCCGCATTGATCGAGGCTGCTAAGCGCCGCGGACGGGAGAAGAACAAGGACGCCTTGTACGTGGACTGCTGGGCAGGCAACGACGGCAAGTTGAACAGGTGACCTTTTCCACTCGGAGCCCGGACCTATACAGATTGGCTTACACACTCGTAGGTATTACGAAGGACGGGGGTTCGAGAGAGTCGGTGACTTTTCCTTTGCCAGGGCAAGTGGCGAGCTTTGGCCAGGCACCCTCTTCCGCATGCGTCTCTCTGGACCGTAACATGTCTACGTAGACGTACATTGTGCCTTGGGAGTGTGATGACGCGAAAGGAACATCATTCGAACCCTTCAAACTGGTTGTCTGGCAGGAGCTTGTATGGAGGAAATGTCTGAACCTTGACGCTCAATGTGACAGGGGCTCAATAGAGGGCTTGGAGCAATAGCTCAATTCAACTCATAACAGTCTTTGGTATCAAAGGTCCTTGGTTTTCCTTAAGACCTTAAAGGTCAACGACGTCTTTAAATACAACAAGTCAGTGAGGGACTTTGCCCTAGGTCTCGTGGCCGTAGTCCTTGTGTAACCAGCCATTTCCGTGTAACATGAGCACTGTTTTATGAATGGTACATTACCGACGAGTGCATGAAGCTGGAAATGTCTGGTGTCAATTTATGGTCCAAGCTAAAACGGATCTATAGCTACTATCGCTATCTGCAAATAGTTCTGGATGTTAAACCAGCCCAACGAATCTTCAACTGCAGATAGCTGAGCATGTATCCGATGACCTTGGTCATGATTTCCTTACTCGTCCTCAAAGTTGGCCATCTTGGGGGAGTTGGGAGCTAAGATCATGTGCACAGGGGTCTGCATTACAGCTTGGCCTGGGTTGGAACTTACGAGTAGGGGCCTGACGTCCGTTGAGGTCTTGGATCTTAACAACCTGAGGGTTAGCCAAGGCATTGGCACCGACACAGATTGCGAGGACGGTAAAGTGAGTAGAGGGTTGCATATTGACAACAGGATCTGAAAATGAAGTAAAGTTGACTTGATACTATGCCAGTGATGGGTGTAAAGGTTTCATCATTTTGTCGGCCATTGAGAGACTTGGCCGCCCTTTAATAGTCCTCGGGCTTTCCTTTCTCAGCCGTTTTCGGTCCAAGTGCATTAAACCCCTGTTTGTTCGGCTCAAACTCATATGTTGGCTCGTTGTATCTGCGCCAGTGACCAATGCGGCCCATGTTGTCATTTAAATGCCCAGTCACTGATATCGTGTCAGCCCTAATTTGCTGCACGTGATTTGAAACTGAGTTAACTACATTGATAAGACTGAATGAAGGTGGCAACCGCAACCTTAACGTATTAATATTGGAAATGGTAATCTAGTCGCATTCGGTGGGCATGGTGCCGAGTGCTTAGACATCGACCATTACAACCTATTTTAGGTATCTTAGTGCTAAAGAGTAGGTGTCTCTGCGGCCTCGAGAAAGTGTGAACGGACCGGCTGAAGACAATGGTGCTCGTGGGATTGTCTTGTTATAGGTTTTTCCCTAGTTGGTTGTCCTACATCTCTGGTATGCGAATACAGAGGCAAGGATACTTGAGATTTCAGTTAGCCCAAGCAGCTTTCTAATTCTAACCTGAAATAACTGTTATACGGACCTTTTCCTCTAGAACTGAAGCCTCTGTAATGCTAATCTGAATATGACCTACTTATTCGTTTTCCCTAGCATATAGTAATTGGAATTAAACGTGAGAGT